TCGTCACGCTCACCCACACCCGCATCTTCATTATCAGCATCCGCATCCTGATCCCCATCCACGTCGGCGTCCTCATCCTCACACGTATCTCCGTCCACATCCACCTCCTCGTCATCATCATCATCATCATCATCATCATCCTGATCAGCATCCTCATCCTCATCCGCATCCTCCTCCTCCTCATCATCTGCATCGTATTCATCATCATCATCATCATCATCATCATCATCATCATCATCATCATCATCATCATCATCATCATCACCATCATCATCATCATCAGCGTCATCATCATAATCATCATCACCATGACCACCGTCATCATTATCATTATCATTACCATCGTGCACTTCATCGTCATCAAAATCGTCATCATCATCATCAGCAACCTCATCCTCGTCGTAAGCACCACCATCATCGTCAACAACAACAACAATCATTTTAAGACTGTTCGCCCTTATATGCTCGAGTGTCGAATAACGCGAATTTCCCAAACCCTCGATACCCGCCTTTTCGTCTTCGATCGAACCCCTTTTGGGGGGTATACCTTTCTTCCCTGCAGGCCGGGCCCCGGCAAGCGGCGGGGCGGCCGCGGACCGTCGGCCTGGCCAGCGGCAGCGCTGATCGGCGGGGCGGCCGCGGACCGTCGACCCGACCCCAAGAGGGACGGACAGGGGACCGACCACGACGACGACGACGACGACGACGACGAAGACGTCGACGGCGACGACGGCAACGACGGCGACGGCGACGGCGAGCGAAAGCGAGAGCGAGAGAGGACGACAGCAGAGCCACGAAGGACACGAAGTAGGCCACGAAGGACGACAGCGGGGACACGAAGGGAATGTATGGGGCCACGAAGAGCGCGAACGAGCGTGGGCCACGAAGGGCAGATAATGCGGGGCCACAGAAGGCAACGATGGGGCCACTGAGGGTAGCACCTGGGCCACGTCGGACAAAGAGGGGGCCACAAACGGCGACAGCGGGGCCACGAAGGGCATGCACATGGGGCCACAACGAGCGCGAACGAGCGGGGGCCACGAAGGGCATACGTATGTTGGGCCGCGGAGGGTACGGACGGGGCCACTGAGGGCAGCAACGGGGACACGAAACAAAGCGAGGGGGCCACGAAGGGCGACAGCGGGGCCACGAAGGGCATGCATATGGGGCCACCACGGGCGCGAACGAGCGGGGGCCACGAAGGGCATACGTATGTTGGGCCACGAAACAAAGCGAGGGGGCCACGAAGGGCTGCAACGGGGCCACGAAACAAAGCGAGGGGGCCACGAAGGGCTGCAACGGGGCCACGAAGGGCTGCAACGGGGCCACGAAGGGCAGCGAGGGGGCCACGAAGGGCTGCAACGGGGCCACGAAACAAAGCGAGGGGGCCACGAAGGGCTGCAACGGGGCCACGAAGGGCAACGAGGAGGCCACGAGGGGCTGCAACGGGGCCACGAAACAAAGCGAGGGGGCCACGAAGGGCTGCAACGGGGCCACGAAACAAAGCGAGGGGGCCACGAAGGGCTGCAACGGGGCCACGAAGGGCAGCGAGATCCCGATTCCTAGGTAATCTGTGAAGGAGTCCTAAGCGTGAGCGCGACTCCTGGGTGCCTGGGTGTCGGGAGCGCGGCGCTGGAGTAAATTGCAAGAAATTCCAACGCAAGGGCGCTATTCTTGAGTAAATTGCAAGCAAGTCTCCAGCGAGAGCGCGACTCCAGAGCGCAGAAGGAGCGATTCTTAAATAAATCGCAAGGAAGTCCCAAGCGAGAGCGCGATTCTTGAATAAAATGCGAGGAAGTCTCGGGCGGGAGCGGAGGTCCTGGCTAAATTGTGAGGAAGTCTCAGGCGGGAGCCGTTGTTGTTCTAACCCGGGGGCCAGGGGGCAAGTTTGAGCAGGAAGACTTTCCTTGACAAAAAACAAGGTGCGAGCCCCCGGGGGGGGCACTTCAATTGAAAAAAATAAATGTGCACCGGTGGGGGGGATCAACAATAATTATTCTTTAAGGATGAGAGTTCAACAACATCACCAACACCACCCGAACAATCGCCATGCAAAACGGTGGGCTGGCACGGCAGCGGGACGTGCCCTGCGCAGCTGAATCATGCAATTCCCCAAGGTGTTTGAAAGAATTTCAGGTTTGCGCCTGATTGGCCTTCCGACGGCCCAAGACGGCCCAAGAGGTCCCCACGATCGCACCAAGAGCGCCCAAGAGGCATCCAAAATGGCGCTATGACGGTCCCGAAAGCCCTCAAGACGGCTCCAGTAGGGCCGTCATACGGCACAAGACACACCCAAGACGCTGAAGGTGGCCTCCAAGACAGCCAAGATGGCCCCATGAGAGCTGCCCAAGACCCCCCAGGCGGCGCCCAAGAGGTACACTGAATGACACGAAGAGGCACAAATCAATGATTTTGCATAGGTGCTTGACAGATGTTGGCGTTTACTTATTTTCGGCGTTCAGACGGCCGAACACGCTACAAAATGCCACCAAGATGGCCCCAAGAGTGGCCCCAAGAGCGCCCAAGAGGCCTCTGAGATGCCCCCTTGACGACCCAAGAGGCCCCCTTGACGACCCGATCCCAAAGGGGCCCTAACACGGCCCAGGACACTTCCAAGACGCCCAAGATGGTTTCCAAGACGGCCCAGAAAAGCCCGCAAGACGGCGTTCGACGGCGACAGACGGGCCAGGAACGCCGTCAGACGGCCAACGAACGTGCCGAGGGGCTTCCCAAGGTCCCCAAGAGGCCCAGGGAAGCCCCCAAGAGGCTCCCAAGATGCCTCCTCCTTCTTCCTTGTCCTCCTTCTCCTCCTCCTCTTCTTCCTCCTCCACGTTTTCCCCGAAATGTTTCCACAACGGCTAAGGGAAGAGTATGTACGTAGTCCGATATATTGATCGAGCTCTGGCCGCAACGTTCGGCCGCACAGACTCTTGTAAAAGGCAAGGGGCGGCGGTGATTAGCCGTAGGCACCTTCGACACAACGTCTCTCTCCCTCTCGCTCTGTACGTATCAGAATTATACTTGTACGCGTGCAACTATATGCATGCGAACGCACGCACATCCATCCATACAGACTTGCACATACACTCTTATACGTAAGTTGCATAAATGTGTGTATACCAAAATCGGCATATGTAAAATGAACAATATGTAACTGTATACATCTACACACCACCGTGACGCGAGGCACGAATTGGAGTGACCTCAGGTCCCTTGCAATTCTCCCTCCCCAATCCTTTCTTAAAAAAGCCCCGGTTTACAATTCCCGGATTTCCAGGGCGTGTTGCGGCTCAGAGCGCGTTCCCGCGTGACTTTTTCGGAGCCGAGCGGGCCCCAAGACGGGCCACGAGGGCTCAAAGAGGCTCCAAGTTGGTCGAAGAGGGCTGCGGCTCGCCCAAGATCGCTCCAGGAGGCCCAGGATGGCCCCAAGACTGCCGAAGAGGGCCCCCAGATGCTCCCGAAACGCAGATCAACGTGTTCCACTGATCTTAGCGTTCTCGATTTTTCTGGGCCTCGACGCTGCAAGACGGCCCAAGAGGCCCCCAAGGTTGCCCCAAGATGGGACGAGTGGCCTAAGAGGGCCGCAAGATGGCCGACGCGGGCCCCAAGAGGGCCCAAGAGGCACCTTAGGAGGCCCAAGAAGGGCCCAAGACGGGAAACCGGAACTGAGACTTCGCGCTCTCCACCCCAAGGGGTCCCCGAGACCGCCAGCAGGCCCCCAAGAAGCCTCCAACAGGCCCCAAGAGGCCCCCAACAGACCCCGAAAGGCTCCAAAACGGCTCCAAAAGGCCTCCAAACTGTCGTCAAGACGATTCCCAGAAGCTTCACGAAAGGTACCACTCAGCGCTCAGGTACCCTTTGTGAGTCATACGCTCGAATTGTAAAGGGGCACATCCCAGGATCACCGAAAAGCATCCCAAGAAACCACGACACGCATCCAAGACGCCTCAGGCCCACAACCCGGCACGGTGACGGACTGGGCCGAAGGCCACTAGACATACACTGGAACTACGCGCGCTTCGCGCTCGCGTAGGTTCTATCTGGCCCTGCTTCCCGATCACCACACACGTAGCACACGTGCCAACGCCCTCTTGATCTGAGCACGAACTGAAGGCTCGATATTTTGGAAGAACCTTCACCGAGAAGACACGATTCACCGATCATCATCGGCCCATGCAACAAGCATGCGAATGTAGTACATCATACGAAATACCCCTGCACGTTGCACTGCGATGCGCAACCGAAGGGACGAACAATCAACTAATTACCTAGATACCTAGTCCCCCGCAGCTGCAGATAAGAGAGAAGGTGGTGCAAACGGTGTGTGCGTGTGTGCCTGTGTCCATCCCCAGTGCTCATACCTAGCGTCCTTCCCCAATGTCCATCCCCTGTGTCCATGCCCAGTGTCCATCCCTGGTGTCCATCCCTGGTGCCCATCCCCAGCGTCCATCCCCAGAATCCATCCCCAGCGTCCATCCCCACTGTACATCCCAGAAGCGGACCATCCTGAACCACGAACGCACGCCCAGGGAAGAGATTTCTCCGTTCGGGCAGCATCCCTCTCTCTGATCTCGATTGTATAACGACCGTGCTGTCTTGATCGCTCGACGTGCGCAAAGTCCCCCTCGTCTGGATGTCCCCTGAGGCCTCCAGACGTTTCCAGAGGCCCCCAGAGGCACATCAGGTCATCGGTAGCGCCTCAAAGTCTGGATCCTCGATTGGGAGGCGGCCAGGGGGGGTCTGAACCGGTTGGGGCGCCAGAGACTCGGCCAGGAGGGGGGGGAAGATGTCAAACCCTTTTGAAACACGGTCCCCACACCCGTCCCGGGGGTCCAGCAGGTGGTCCCGGGGCCCGACGACGGCCCCGAGAGGCCGCAGGAGACAGGCAAAGACCCTCCCGCACTCCCCGCACCTCGAGCCTCCCCCCCATCGGAGCGCCGAGCCGCTCGAAGAGGAGGGGCCGACGAGCCCCCACCCTGCCGCCCCCCGCGGGGCGCGGCCTGATACTCGAGGCTCATCCTCTCGAGATCTTCCTTCTTGGCCCGCGCCTGCTCGCGCATCTCCTCGGCCGCGCGTCGCCGGGGACGGCGGCAATGATCTCCAGGGAGGGGTCGCGCACAGGCGGGTGGCGCGTCTGCTCACGCGGCCGAGCCCCCTTTTCCAAGCGCGCTCACCGGATGCATCCCGAAACCAGTGCCCTCACTGCTCCACCTCCGTCCTCCTCTCCCAGCCTCATCCCCCCACTCGCTTGCTACCGCTCTCCCGCTCCTGCGTCTCCTCCACCACGCAGGAAAGCCACAGGCACGCGTGGCACTGACAGACTAGCTCCGCACATGTGCCAAATGCTCTAGCGAGCAAAACTACAGCAGAGCCTCTGGACAGCGAGGTATTGTCGGTGCACCCCAGCATCAACACAGTCTCCGCATCCTTTGTCCACACCCGCTGGGGTGGAGCAACGCTCGTGGACATGTCGCGGGGGCTCCCCGGCAACTGTGTTGATGCTGAGCTGCACTGTCATTGCCTCGCTGTCCTGGGGCTTTGCTGTGTCCTTGCTCGCCAGAGCATTTGACACGTGTGCGGAGCTACGTAGACTGCCAATGCCACGCCTACCTGTTGCTCTGCTGCGTTCAACGCACACCACCTAAGGCGGCCGAGAGCTTGAGAGGTCCAACACAGTTTAACAAACACATGCAGTCAACGCGTGGAACACGGATGCACGATAGCGATGCAAAGGCATGGCGATGCCATGCCGACAATTTGCGGGCGGGGCGCGAGGAAAATCGCTCATCCGTTCTATCCGTATTGACCGTGCATTTGTCGTGGAACCAGATCAGGGGGAAACGAAAAAAAAAACGATATCGCTTTGCCCCAGACCTCTCCCTGGGTGGCAAAGCCAGCGGTGGCGACGATGGCCTCACAGGAAGCCCGAGAAAACGAAAACGAGGCAAGGTAGGCGTATGGGTACGTGTTCCTTTTCCCTGCCATCGCTCAGACGTCCATTCCACGTGAATTGTTGGTTTCGTGTTTGTCTGTTGTCTCGAAAGATGACCCAACATGCTCCTTGATGACCCGCACCGAGATCCATCCAACAAAATAAAACATCAGGGGCGACGATGGGGGCGAATAGCCCGGGGCAAGGAAATACCTGTATCCAGGGACGCCGATGGTCCATGCCTTCGGCGAGGCTCCCGGGCGAACGCGTGTCATGTCCGCCGTTGAGGAGGAGGGGGTGCTCCTGGACGTCCTGATTATTTCAGGACGGCGTCCCCCGAAGTCCTGACCCTTTCCCAGGGACTGGTTTTTCGTCCCGAGTCGTTTTTTGACGGTCCCGAGGCCCGGCGAGGGCCCACTGGGGCCGAAAACCGTCAAAAGCTTCCCGTCCGGATTTTTTTCACGACGCGGTCCTGTCTGGGTCCGCCCGTGGGCCATTTTCGCCCCCCCTCGCAGGGCGTCGCCTCCGACCACCCGGGCCCAGCCGGCCGTGCGGCCTCCCGGCGGGCCGCGAGTGCGCCGGCCGCTGCCCGTGGGCGCGCGCCCCCGCGGCGGGGTCTCCGCGCCTCGATCTCCTGGGCGCCGCGCGCCCGCTCCTCCAGGGCGCGCTGCAGGTGCTCCTCTCGGCGGCGAGCGAGCGAGCGGGGGGGGGGGAGAGGGAGCAGGAGGAGGCCTAACCCTCGGGGTCCACCAAGGGGGGGGTGACCCTGTGGGGGGGGGGGAGTTCGATCCGCTGGTGCATCGAATTTCCCAAAAACGACGCCCCCCGCGCGCCCCGATTGTCGACGCCTCCTTGGTTCCGGCAGCGGCCGGAGACCTCGTTTTGCATCGTTTCTCGGAAGTCCGATGCGCCAACGGACCGAACTCCCCCCCCCCCCCTGTGCCACCCCCCCCCCCCTTGCGAGGTCCCGATTCTCGGAAGGCGGCGGGGCTTCTGAGGAGTTTCCGGCGTCTTCGCGAACATCTCAGGGAACTTCTCCGAAGGCCGGGGGGCTTCCGAGCCTTCTGAGAAGACCTCCTCCCCAGGTGCTGCTGGTCGTGGCCAGCGACGTCGGCGCGACGTCGACGACGATGACGGGGCTGATTACGTCGGCGATGACGACGCGACGATGTCGACGCGACGCCGACGCGACGACGTCGTCGACGATGGCGTCGGCGATGCCGCCCGCCGACGACAAGGATGACAACGGCGCCGACGAGGACGTCGGCAACGATGACTTCGACGATATTAGGCCGCCGCGCGGCCGTGCCTCCCTTCCGCCATGGGGGGGGGGGACAGGCCCCCCCTCGTCGTCAGACATCTCGTCGTTCGGGGTTCGAGGCTTTCCGAGTAACAGGAGACGGTTCGACCCCCATCCCAGGCTTCGTGGGGGTTCGAATGACCCAGGAATTTCGGGCCCAACCGTGGGATATATACGATGGGGGGCCGTCCATCCTCGAGGGAGGTGCGAGCAAGCAGCCGCCTTGGCGTGCATCCCAGACCCCCACCCCCTCTTCCGAGAGGACAAACTTCTCGGGCGGAGAGCAAGGGATCGGGGGAGAGCACGTTTTCGTCGGCTTCCCACCCTCGGGAGATGCTCTCTGGCAGCCGCGTCTCCCCGAGAGCGCGTCATCAACCCCGGGGTGCCCGAGAAAAAATCGCCCCACTCGGCAGCCGGAGACCCAGGTGAGGACCCGTGGACCACGCCTCTTCTCGCCGGGGGGAGATCGCTACAGCCGGACCGTATGATAAGAACGCACGATGAGGATGCAGGGGCCTTGGAAGACCATGTCGACACTTTGCGAGCGGGGCGCGGCCAGCGAAAGAGGCCAAGGATGGGCCGAAGGGAAGGATGCGAGAGTGCTTGGAAAGTCGCGCATCCTTAGTGTGCGGGTTGACTGTATGAACCCAGGCCAGAAGAACGTCCTCAAGAACACGCGGCCCTGCGGGGGGCCAAAACACACCGAACACCCAAGGGCGCCCTCTCCAGGGTGCACAAGAGCATATCCAACAAAACACGAAGATCACTCGGGTACCCTCCCCCGAACCGACCCCGATATTTTTGCCTCGGTCCAACTGTATGGCAAACTGTTTTTCACGCTCGGCTTCCAGGGGCCCTCGCTGGGCCCCCAAACCTGAGACGAAGCAAGGACGAGAATAAAACATCGGGTGAGGAAAAATGGGGAATCTCTGTGATCCAAAGGCTCTGGAGAATGTCTCGGGCGCCGTGTCCTTCTCAGAGCGTTCCGGAACGCTCTGAGAGCGTTCCAGAATGCTCTGGAACGGAATCATCCTCGTCCTGGCCCCGCCCGATGGCAAATTGTTTTTCGCGCTCGGCTTCCAGGAGCCCTCGCCGCCAAACCGCCTCAAAAACTGCCCGGGGTGCACGGCCTGCCCCAGGAGCAGGGTCTGGACCTCTGGGGGTCCGCGTTGCAACAAAAAGGACATCGTCGTAAGACCGAGGGGGACAGGGATCCACAAGGCAAGGCCGTAGAAGATTGTCCGCCAACGTGGTCCCCAATCATGTTATTGCACTGTTGATGTGCAACCTAGGTGAAGCAATCCATGTGAACGACGATCAAACACGAGTCTTACTCGAGATGTCACCGCGACCTTGCGCCGCGGCTTACACAGGCCGCCAGCGCGGCACGCTACATTGGAGACGAGGGCGCGTACGCGCGACCTTCCGCGGGCAGCTTACGCGCGAATGTCGGCGAAGGTGACCCCGTTGTTTTGCGTCGCTCTTGTGGGGTAAGCTTTATGGTGCATACTATGTGGCGTAAGCTGTGCGGTGAAGGCTAGGTGGTGCAAGCTATGTGGTGCAAACTATGTGGTGTTAGCTGTGGTGCAAGATCTGTCGTGTAAGCTTCGTGGTGCAAGTTACGCGGCGCAAACTATATGATGGAAGCTATTTGGTACAAGCAATTTCGTGCAAGCTTTGTGGTGTAAACTGCATGGTGCAAGCTAATAACGTGGTGCCTGTGTGGTGTAAGCTGTGCATACGATGGCATGAACCCATTAGGCGCCCACGACCCGTCGTCGGCGGCTACGTGGCGAAACCTTAGCACACACATGTGTATATATATATATAACGTATCCAACACACGAAACGCTAACGAGGCACCCACGGGCGACAACGTGGCGACACCTCACCACTCCTGTCCAGCATACGAAAGGCTGCCATAAAGGGTTCACCGCCGATCCGCGATTACCGCGCGAAACTCTGACGATGCATGGTTTATTCCCGTGTTTTCTGTCTTCTTCGGGACAAGAATCGGACAGAGGGTAAGGTACACATACGAAGACAATGATGCCATGATGTAATTAGCTCAAGATGCGTTTCAAACATCCGGTGTATCCAGTGGCCCTCGTTTCTGCAACCCGTGTGAAACATGAATGAAGGAATATCTGGAGTCCAGTAAATCTTGGGAATCCTGTGTACTTGGAAATGGCCAGAGGCTCTGCGCAGGATGTGCCCTGAAAAAATTGATCAAGGAGGGGGACAAGGGCAATCCGTTCAAAATCCGTCCCCGGACCCCTCCCAGGCTCGAGACTGACCAGTTGTTCGAGCCGCGTCCAGCGGTGGCGACGACGGGGCCCCCTCTCCCGCTTTTCAGCTGGCCGGAACCAGTGCCGGGCTACATCAGCCCCGCAGCCAGCTCCAACTGGAAAACACAATTATTATGACCTCTTGCCACTCTGAATGGAAGAAGAAGCACCTGCATAAACATACACATTCGGAGATCCGCCCAGATCTCTTAGGTCTGCGTTGGATCCTCATCCCTGGCGCGCGGAGCGCGCCATGGGCGGCAACGGGGGCGCCGCCAGGGCGGCGCAGCGCACGTCCAAGATAGCCGCGAAGATCCACTTACGTGTTTATGCCGCTTCTTCTCGTGGTGGCGAGTGAGGGAGAGAAGTGAAAAGGAGGAGGCATTCTCGGAAGGCTCAAAAACCTACCCGTCTTCGGAAAATTTCCTGAGCCTTCCACGAAGACGCCGGAAACCTCTCAGAAGGCCGGAGGGCTTCTGAGAAGCCCCGCCGCCCTCTGAGAGGCCTTGTCCTTCTCTCTTCCACTCCGGCTCGCCGACTGCAGCCCCCGGAGGAGGAGGAGGAGGAGGAGGAGCAGCAGGAGGAGGAGGAGGAGGAGGAGCAGCAGGCGGAGGGGGAGGTGAAGGGAGGAGGCGGGGGAGGAGGAGGCGGGGACGGAGGAGGAGGAGGAGGAGGAGGAGGAGGAAGAGGACGAGGAGGAGGGAGGGGGAGGAGAAGGAGGAGGAGGAGGAGAGGGGGGGGAGGAGGAGGAGGAGGAGGAGGAGGAGAGGAAGGATGCGGAGGAGGAGGAGGAGGAGGATGAGGATGAGGATGAGGAGGAGGAGGAGGAGGAGGAGGAGGAGGAGGACGAGGGGGAGCTGCTGCCAGCGCAGCAGCGCCCGGGGCACCGCCATGCCTTCCAAGGGCGCCGACGGGGGTCCTGCGCCTCGCGCGCCTCGCGCTGCAGGATGGCCAAGCGCTCCTGTGGGGCGACACGGGGGGAACTGCTGAGGGAAAGCGGGCGGAGCGGAGGAAGGGTGAAGAGTGAGGGAGAAGGATCACATCCCCGAATCATGAGGGCTTTGGGCGGTCAGGGATAGCTACAAATTCGCACCTCGGTGGCGCAATCCGGAGTTACCCCGAACCGCAGTTTTATCCCGAACAACTCGGGCGTCCAACCCTCCCGAATCATCAGGGCTGGGGGCACTCAGGGGTAACTACAGATTCGCGCCTCGGAGGCCCAAACTGGAGTTACCCCGGACAGCACTGATCCTGGATAACTCGGGCGTCCAGAAGGAGTCGCCAACAAGTGGTTGGCGCGAGGGGGGTGGACCTTCAGGAAACACGGGGGCTTCTTAGAAGCCCGCCCGGCTTCCAAGAAGCCTTCTTGGCGTTGGAAGCCTTCCAAGCGTCGGAGGCCTTCTGAGAAGGCCCCTTCCTCCAAAGAAGACCCTCCGCCTTCTTAGAAGGCCGCCCCCTTCTCGCCACCCCCGTGTGGGCGCCGCCAAGTACAGTGTTCGTGCTGCCGTGAGGAACCCTAATTAAGGAACGGATGGGGCTTCCTGGCCAAGAACATGTTCGCCGACCTAGATCTAAGGAACAGCCCCAAAAATCAGAGCCCCTTCTGAGCCAGAGGTGGTCTTTACTTCATCGCCTCGACTGTAGAAGAAGATCAAGGAGAAGAAGAAGAAGCAGAAGAAGAAGAAGAAGAGAGCGATCGGCAAAACTATGACCTGTTTGAGGTCCGCGCGGGCCTCTTGGATCGGCGTTTGGCCCCCCTCCGGCGGCGCCTCCAGCGCTGCCGCTGGCGCACTGGGGGCGCCAGAAAAGGGGGGGGTCTGCGGACATTCATGGCCGTGCCGTGGGGCAAGGCGGGAAGGAGAGGATGCAGGCCCCCGTGGATGGGCACGTGCCTTCCATAATCCAGGGCCGCGTAGACTGGGGCAGCGCCTCGCTGCGCGGCCTCTCATCGCCAGAGGGAGCGGGCGAAAGGGACGGCGCCACCACTACCGGAACTACCAGAACACCATCACACACCAAGCCATCAGCAAGAACTCGGCCGCCACAGCTGCCACCGTTGTCAACGCAGCCCGCTGACTAGAACGACCGCCACCGCCGCCGCAATCGCCGCATCCCGCCATCAGCACTACCGCCGAGAGTATCTACAGATGTCGCATCGAGCCGGAGGCAGGCACGACGACGAAGTGTCGTCAGAGACGAGTTTATCCCAGCTCGCTACTCTTCCACGTCTTCTCCCCGTTTGAGAGGCAGGGGCAGGGCATAATACATAACCATAAGTCACCTCCATGACGGTCGTGTGGCACGGACACTCCGCAGGCCTCCACCCGAGCCGTTGCTCAGTCTCTCGAGCCGACAGGCCACGGCCGCTTTCTCCTCTCTCTCTCTCTCTTCCTCTCTCTCCCTCTCTCTCTGCGCGCATTCCTCGCAGGCGCGGAGGGAGAGGGGCGCCGGCCAGCCATGGCGGACCTCGAGAGGAACCTGGCAGGGGGGAAACGGATCCTGAGGGGCACGGGTCCTGGACCCCGGGGCCTTCCCCCAGGCCGAGCTCTTCATCCTGAGTCGTCTTGTGCCAGTCCCGGGGCCCGTGGACGGCCCTGAGAGCCCGAAAACGGCAGAAAACCTCAGGACACGTTTCCCTCAGGACCCGCTTCACCCATGGCGAAGAACTTATCGGCACCGCCCGGCATCACCAGTAGCACTCCAATACCACCAGCCCTCTGGGCGGAGGTGGTCTAGAGCGTTTCCGTTTCCAACCTCCCTGATATACCTCCCCCCCCCCCTCCTTGGGTTTGGACGGCGCGGTCCCGAGGGGTTAGAGGGTTCTTTTTGGCCCAAGATGGCTCCAAGAGGGCCTCAGAGAGCGCAAGATGGCCTCCAAGATGGCCCAAGATAGCTCAAGATGGCTCAAGATAGCCTCCGACACACACCCAAGAGGTCTCAAGGCTGCCCCAAGACGGATCCAAGTGCCTTTCGAGCTTTCAACGGCACCCTCCAAGATGCCAAAATCCTTCAAAAGCCTTGGGAAAATCAATGTTTCAGGCATTCTCGCCTTTTCGCTTCCGATGGGCTTTGGCATCCTCAACATGGCCCCAAGTTGCCCAAAGAGAGCCCCAAGAGGGGCCCAAGAGGGCCCCAAGACGGCCCCAAGAGCGGCCAAGAACGCTCCAAGAACGGCCCAAGACGGCTCCAAGACAGTATTTGTGAGCCTCCGAGGGGGCGACGGGAATTGGTCCCCCCCCTCATTTTTAGCCATGGGGCCCAAGACGGCCCCAAGAGGCCTCCAAAGCCTCCCCAAAGAGCCCTAAAAGGGCTCCAAGACTCCCCACATGAGCCCCAAGAGGGCCCCACGAAGGCCCCAAGAGGACCCCAAGAGGGCTCCAAGATGGCATTACGACGCTTCGAAGAAACCCTCACCACAATATATCCCCTAAGCCCGACTTCTCGTCCTCCTTGTCATCGTCCCCTCCTCCTTTTCTGTTTGTCCTCCTCCTCCTCTTCCTCCTCCTCTTACCCCCAAGATGGTCCCAGGCATCGCCAGCACAAGCAGCACTATCAGTAGCACCAGCATTAACACCAGCAGCAGCGGTACCATAAGCACAAACTACAACGACAACACCAACGATACCAGCAGCTACAGCCCGACACCCTTCGCTACAAGAGCTCTCCCAACTCACCGGTGTTGCTAATCAAGCCGCCGTGGGACATCCGCGCCTTCCTTCCTCCCTTCCTGCCTCCTCCCTCCTCCTCTTCATCCTCCCCGTGCCGCTTTCCTGCTCTTCCTCCTTTTCCCCGTCCTCCTTCTCCTTTTTTCCTCCTCCTCCTCCTCCTCTTTCTCCTCCTACCCCCAAGATGGCCCCAGCAGCAGCAGCACCAGCAGCAGGAGCACCACAAGCAGCAGCACCAGCAGCAGCACAAGCACCAGCACCAGCAACATCAGCACCAGCATCAACAACAACAGCGCCTTGACGTTTACCACAGGGAACCTCACGGCGTATCTCGCACGAATTTCCATCTCAAACTTCAGTGGGGGAAGCTATGTGTGATCCTTGTTTTTCTGGCCCGAGGTACGGCCCCCCAGTTTTGAAAACAAGAATGCCTGTGCGCACGGCAGTGTCTATGTGCAGCTTCTGCGCCCCTTCCAACACGCTCCCAAGGCGGTTGCGAAACCTCGTGCCGAATCTGCGCACATCACGGATGTCGGATCGTGCATGCAGCAACCTGCGCCAGAGACACTTACCACAGAGAACACCATGGCGCATCCTGCACTGATTTCTGTCTTAAACTTCACTGCGCCGAACTATTTGTGATCCTTGTTTCCTGGCCCAGGGTGCTGCCCACCCTGTTTTGACGCTTCCAAAACAGCTGCGCGACCGCGTGCTTCCAGGCGTCCCTGACTAACCAACTCACCTGGTAATCGTTTCCTGATGGGCTGGTGGGTTACGCGAAGCGCCAAGAATTAACCAAGAAGATGTACGCAGGTTCGCGCGGCGAAGACGTCGACGTCGGCTTCCGACACCGCGTGGATCGTTCTACCTTGCACGAGCGCGGCCTCCCGATAGCGCAGGTATCATTCGCGGCCGGTTCCGGGCCACTGGCGGCGTTCAACCTTGAACGCCCGCGCTGGGATCTCCGCCGCGGCAGCGCGGCGCGAGCCTACCGTAGAGAGGGAAGCACGAGTGATATCGTTTAGCACCCCCACGCATAAGGCAAATAGGTAATTCCGTCGGGGGGGTTGGGCCGTGGGCGTGAGAGGAGTAGCACAACAGTGCTCATCACGTTCTCATCGAAAACGAGTCCTGCTTGGATTCTCATCGACACCGCGCGAACTTAGCCAAGAGAACCATCGAAACCACGACGACGACGACGACGACGACGACCACGCGCTGCCGATGCCTCATGGGGGGAGGGTGCTGCGTGGGCCCCAAGATTTAGGAATCAGGAATGGCGTAAACGGACACTTTCGGAGGTCTGAGCGGATTTCTTGGACCCCCCTCCCTGGCGCGCAGGCTCCGCCAGGAGACTCCAGCGCCGCCAGTACAACAGAAAGGTTATGTTTATGCCATTGTTTGTTCCTCGGAAGGTTGCGTTTCAGTGAGGCGCTCTACGCATCCGAGGCCTTTTATGGAGCTGGCCAAAAATTACCCTGCCTCCATTCAGCCCCCATTGCCCTGCTCATTTGCACGCGCCGCCGGTCCTTCGCGCGATCAGCCGCAAGCTTGCCTTCGCGCCTGCTTTCTTGTGTCCGAAACCCTCGGCTCTCGATAGGGGGTGATAAAAAAACCCCTTTGGCAAGACACCCTTTAGCGAAAGCTGCCAAGGGCACTCCACGCGTGCGCGGCAACGCATTCCGAGTGGACCCCAGCGGGGCATCTCATCGACGTCCCCAATATAAACGAATGTACCCAGCGAGACGCACGTTGATTACCGAACCCGACCGGGGACTGAAACAGTACACTCGAATGACACTGTCGAGTGAAATTTGTTGTTCGGCAATGCTCCCAGCCAAGCACAGTTAGTGAGTCCTCTGGTCAGGTATGCGTCAGATCGCAAAGGACTGTGCTTCATGACGACGTTGCGTCAGGAAGGCTGAGTGGTCTACGTCAGTGGCTGCTAGCAGTCAGGTGAGACGGGAGACACTGTCGAGTGAACATGTTCAGATTGCCTCAGCCGGCTTGTCTGGACCGGCGTCCTGTCAGCGCCCGACCCGATCCTCACTGCACCCTCCCCTCCTCCATACCTCCCTGCCTCCCCTGGGCACTTTATTGTGCTTGCTTTTAGATCGGGCATGTCCCCCCCCCTGCAGGCGGAATTTGGACAAAAGATTAGAAATACTCAAAAAATACCCCAAGATGGTCAAACATAACAAAAAGAAATCGTCCCCTGACTATTTTTGACTAGTCCTCCTGTAGAGGGAAGTACCCGACTTAAGCTTACTGACTCGGCTCCCGTGCATAACTCTCGAATCTCACTACAGATTCTGCTGGTCGCAGTGCCGGCCTTCGCTGGCAGGTTCTCAACCTCATCAGCGTCGCAGTCCAAAAATTCCTTGGGCCCGCCCCCGCTGGGCCGCTGTGGGACGGGGCTCCTTCGCCGCGAGGGCCGCCTCCTCGTCGTCCTCCTGAGGCGCCGAGCTCGGGATGGGAAACAAACAATGACATAAACCTCAAAACTCGGAGGTCCGTCCGCGCAGATTTCTAGGATCGGCCCTGGCCCCCCCTCCCTGGCGCGCGGAGCGCGCCGGAGGCGGCGCTGGAGGTGCCGCCAGGGGGCCCCCACGCCGAGCCTGGGAATCCGTGCGGACCTCCGAGTTGTTATGGTTGTGTTATTGTGTGTTCCCCTATCGGGGGGCTCGGGCGAGCGGCGCTCCAGCAGGAGGACGGGCGCGCCCGAGGGGAGGCCCCCAAAGGTGCCTTCCGCGCGCAGCTGCCCGTCGCAGCGCGGCGCCGCCGCGCCCCGAAGGGTTCTTTGTTCACGCATCGGGAGCCCCAGGCGACTGTGGAATCGGCAGCCCGTCCTGCCGCGGGACCGTCATCGCCCCTTCCTCCCTGGTGAAATTGAGGCGCTGGCGCGGACTGGAGGTGGGGAGCGGAGGGAGGAAACACACACACACACACGCACACACACACACACTATACCATGAAATAGCGCGCCGAAACATCTTTGCACACTCGGTGCTGGCAGGCGTGTGCTTTAGAGGCCTCCTAGATGGGGTCGGAGTAGATGGGGTCGGAGGATCGCGCCGCATCGCCGATACATCGGCGATGCATCGGCGATGCATCGGTGATGCACCGTCGACGCACCGTCGACGTCGGCGATGCATCGGCGACATCGGCGTGGAGGAGATCGGGCTCCGCATCGAGCCGCATCGCCGATGCATCGGCGATGCGGCGCGATCCTCCGAACCAATCTACTCCGACCACATCTACGAGGCCTAGATGCTTACAGCCATTGTGCTGCCTTAGGGAGCGCCGAAGAAGGGGCGAAGGGACTCTTCTAGCCTTAGGTCAGGCATGTCGACCTGCAGGCGGATTCTGGACGAACCATATTCTAAACAATAGCCCAAACATAAACAACAATAATCAAAAATAGTCAAAGTCGCCCCCTGACAATTTTCTCTACTTCTCAATACTTCCCCTTTAGAGGGACAGGCCCGATTTGATTCTAGCCACGGCGAGGCTCGGCCAAGAACAAGCACCCTGGCCCAGATCTGAGGAGCGGCCCGGAAACCAGAGCCCTCCAGGTCCTAAGCCCGAGGTGTACGACGAAGTCCAAATAAGAATAAAATCGGGTGAGGATACCCGCTGAGGTTAAGTCGAGCATGTCCCCTTACAAGAGGGTTTTGGACGAAAAATAAAACATAGTAAAACAAATCTCCAAACTGGTAAACAAATAATCGAACAATCGCCCCAGACTATTTTTGACTATTTTTGAATATTCCTCCTGTAAAAGGACAGGCCCGACTTAACGCTAAAGAAATTAAAATACAAGCAGCGTGACCCATAATGCTGCCCGAACTAACGGAACATCACTGCTGCGCGTGAGTGTTGCGACATCCCAATTCCGGGTGACGATAAATCGATGCTCGCTGAGATCAGGCGGACTTGGAAACTGTCCCGGTAGCCGCGGCCGTCTCAGAGAGTTCCAGAACGCTCTGTGAGCGCTCCGGAACGCCCTGGAACGGACCCAGACATGCGACGTCCTGATTTTTTCCCGACGGCGTCCCTGGAAATCGACCCTTTCCCCCCAGGACCGGTTCATCGTCCCGAGTCGTTTTTTGACGGTCCTGGAGCCCGGCGAGGGCCCCCTGGGGCCGCGAATAACCAAAAGCCTCCCGCACGGACTTGTAACGACGCGATCATGTCGGGGGATTTATCCTCGTACTAGCCACTAGCCTTGTGGGTGCCATGACAATGGTCACTCTAACAATTGAATTAAAGATGTGTTTAACATGTGTGAGACATGTTCTGAACATGTGTTTAACATGCGTCACACATATTAGAAACATCTTTTAGACATCTGGAATTTCTTTGGCAGAATGCTTCCGTTTCATTAATCGACTTCCACAACACTAGCCCCGTCCGATGTTCCTTGTTCCAGCGTCTTATCTGCACTCGGGTCAGAGCTTCTCGCTCCAGGGGCCGGAAGGCGGACGAGCTGGCTCAGGCCAGCACGAGCAGAGGCAGATCAACCAAACAGCTCTCGGCCCTAAGGACGCACCCCATCGAACTGCCTGAACTGTTCATCGGGCGTGGGGCGTGGATTTTCACCGAGAGGGTCGAGACCCAAGATCCAATATCCAGGACCCAGGAAGATCGGGGACACGGGAGGGAGGACACAAGACCGAAGATCCAAGATCAAGGATCCAGGCGCAGCAAGCCGTCTGATCCCATTTTCATCCCGTTCTCCCCCTTCGGAACTAACGCAGCGGCGAAACACAACGCACGTTCGAACAGCGTGCAACAGTACGGTCTTAAACGGCATCCGGGTGGAACATCTGTGTAAAGTATACGATCACGGCGTCCTGCTATGCAACTTTCAGTCTTTCATTCGTACGAGCAGGTACAAGCAGATAGACACAAGCTCGATGCGTTCCACTGCCGATGCCTGCGGCGTGTTTGCTTCAGTCTGGTGGTGGTCTCTGGATGGGCTGGTGGGGATACGTCAAGCATCACATTGTTTTTGATTGTGCCAAATTTGACAACAAAACTCCAGGACAGGAGAGAGAGAGAGAGAGAGACCTGAGAAAGCTGGAAAAACAAATGAGACTCTGAACGAGCTGCAGACGCAAACCGAGCGTGTTGGAGGACTCGAGAAACGGGCGCCGAACAAAATCGGACGCCACCGAACTCCTGGAACGTGCAAGCGAACGCAATGGGCACCGCAACTCGCAAACTTGAAGAGGGATCCTTCCACATGAACATATGAAGCAAACCGGCCCCGAGGGAAACGGGTCCTGGGCACCTTGGCCTATCACCAGGACGACGAATTCTTCCTCCTCATATTTTGTTTTGACGGTCCTGGGGCCCGTGGAAAGCCCCGAGAGCACGAAATGGGAGAACAGCTCAAGACCCGCTTCCAGCAAGACCCGCTGGCCTCGTGCCAAACCAACACACGTCATAGACGCGCTAGCCAATCAACACAAGCCAGACACTACATAAGTTTAGGGGTCTCCTTACGTGTTCCCTCAATCTGGCTGCCCAATTTGTTGCTGACTGGCTTGTGCGATCTCATGGGCGGCTCTTCCGAGATCTCATGCGATCTCGTCAACGCGATAACATACCAGCATACGCCAGTCGCTAAGCCTCTGCTCTTCTGTGCCTTCTCGTTCAACTTGCTACGCGGTCCGTGCGGACCAGTTTGCGCAGGCTCGACACAGGGCGGGCTGCAAGGAGGGCTACACGCTGGCCGTGCCGCATCGGGGGGCTGCGCAGCCCGCTTGCGCGGCGAGTCCTCCGTCAGCAGGGGACCGCTCAAGCTCAGGCTCAGGCTGCCACGGATGCTGCCTCCGCGCGCACACGGTAAGAGCGGCCCAGGCGAAGAGGGAGACACCATAAACATAAGCATGCACTTCTGGAGGAACCAGCAAAGCCATACACATAAAGGAACACATAACGAGATAGAAGCGGAAGACCAGAGGTGGTCACAAACATAAACCTAAACTTTCGGAGGTCCGCCCGGATTTCTTGGATCGGCGCTGGGCCCCCAGGCGGCGCCTCCACCGCCCCCGGCGCGCTCCGAGCGCCACAGAGGGGGTGCATCGCCGATCCAAGAAATCCGCGCGGAGCTTGAAAGTTTGTGTGTTTATGCAAATGCTTCTTCTGCGCAGATGGGAGGGAGGTGCAGGGAGCCAAGAGGAGAGGTTGTACTGCATCTTCGAGGGGTCTCCTCCTCTCCCATCGCGCCAGCTATCCGAACCACATTCGCCTCGAATGACGTCGAATCCGCGCGAATCCACGTTCAGTCCGCGTCGAGTCCGTGTCGAACTCACGTCGGGAATGCAAGAGAAGACCACCAGTTGCAGGACAAGAAAACTCCCCCGACGATGCAAAGTGCAAAGTCAGGGAGGGAGGAACGGAAAATCTGGGGAAATCAAAAGGTACCCACACTGCTACGTACTCCCTGGACCTCTCTTAGAATGCACCCTGGCCAGAATTTCGAGGCGAGTCGAGCGGTGGAGACGAGGGCCTCCCGGGAGCCCCCCCCCAAAAAGGGAAAACGAGACCCTGGGGGCAGCGGTATCGGTTCAGCCGGGCCTGGGAAAGAAGTGCATCCTTCAAGAACAACGAGACGCTCCGCTGGCCACGACACACAGAACACCCAAGGGTACCCTCCTCCTCCGAGTCGGGACAGGGAGGGGAGGAGGCCGGACCTGGGGTTTGGTCGGGCATGCCCTCCTACAGGCGGATTTTGGAAGAATAAAAAAGAATAGTCCGGAAATAAGTACACCAGAGAAAAACCCCAATCTATGTATGGTTTTCGCTGAGGAGATCGACCAGAAACCCTGGAGCCCAAAAACCCACTGAAATCGGTCCGAACTAATACTCGGGAACCCGGGAACCCGGAACCTGGAACCCGGGAACCCAGCCTGCTACCAAAATCGGCGGGAAGCTTTCGCCAAATCTTTCCTTTACACACGAGAAAAACCAAATAAATGGATGGTTCTCGCTGAAGAGATCGACCGGGCACCCGGAAGCCGGGAAGGTAAAAAAACACGAAAAATCGTCACCCGACTATATTTGATACTATTCTTGCAAACATCCTTCCTGTAGAGGGACATGCCCGACCTAAACCCGGGGCAGCGAGGAGAGGCCGCGGCGGCGGACGGCCTGCAGCTGAGGGGGAGGGGTCCCGAGGGACGCGGGCCCCGGACCTCTGGGGGCTCTCCTCCTCCGTCGTCGTCGTCGCTGCCGCCGTCGCCGTTGTCGCCGTCGCCGCCGTCGCCGCCGTCGCCGTCGAGGAGCCGCACCCGTCGTCTCTCGTAGCGAATAGTTCTCCGGTGTTCGTTAGGGGGGGGCAGCGCACATGGTGTGAAGAAACGTGCACCGTTCGTCCACTTCTGATCGGGCATGTCCCCCTACAGGCGAATTTTGAAGGAAAAGGAAAAAGAGTAAAACTAAAATGCTCAAACATACACCAACAGAGTGAAATAATCGTCCCCAGACTGTGCTGTGACTAATTTTGAACACTCCTCCGGTAGAGGGACATGCCCGACTGAAGTCCGCCTTCTGGGCCCGCGGTGGCAGCTTTCAAGGCCGCTTGGGGCCCCTTTAGGGCGCTGGCAGAACTGGGTTTAATGGGATCTGGTCTCGTGATGTGCACCGGGGGGCGCCTCCACGCCCCGTTCCACTGAGCGGAACTGCCGTCACACGAAAAACACCAGCTGCGGCAGACCTGGTTTCGTGATTCTGGGCAGTTTAGGGGCTCCAGGCCCCTACCACTAAGTGGGTCCCCTCACCTGGGGTCCTGGCTATGGGGCCACCTTCCTGTCATCCTCTATCCCGCCACCGTCTGTTACCCCCCCGCATGGGGAAACCAAAAAGGTACCCCTACCGCCCCTGCCCAGACCTCTCCAGGGTGCGCTCTGACTAAGATTTTGAGGCGAATCCAGCGAGGGCCTCACAGGAGGCCGAAAAACGGAAACGGGCGAAGGGTAGAGGAGAGGCATGGGCACCTTTTCCTCCTCTGACCGCAGCCCTTCGCCTGGGAGCAGCTCTCTGACGGCCCCAGGGCCCTGCAGAAGGAGGCCTCCCAACGGCGACCTCGAGGCCTCCGTCTCTCCTCGGGGCCTCTGCTGGAGATGGATAGAACCCGCTTTAGCAAAACGTGGTTCAATGAAAGCGACCTCAGGCCTAAACCTGGCGGGCGCAAGCCTGGAAAAAAGGACGGCCGCGGCGCCCTCGAGGACCGGAAACGGACAATTCACTAATCGACGTGTCAGGGTGGGGTTTCTGCCCACCCCCGACTCTGATTCCCGTGGTGCCCACCAAGTCACGACCGGAAGCGGCCCTGCGAAGGGCCACGACCACAACAGGAAGCGACCCAACCAGGCCGCTAAGAAGGGCCTGCCGAGTTTGTTGTGTTCTCCATCGAGGCGAGGCAGCAGCTTCAGAGGCGGCTTCGGCCGCGAGCGAGGGGGGGAAGTGAGGAGGAGGAGGCCTGATCAGAAGGAGGCGGGGATTCTCAGAAGCCCTCCGGCCCTCTGATAGGTTTTTGTTTGTGTCTCCCGGGAAGGATTAGAAAGCTTCTCAGAAGGCAAGAGGACTTCTTAGCCTTCTGAAAAGGCCCGCCACTTCTCGCTTCCCCCCTGTGCCGGCCGCCGATTGTCAGAAGCTCCGTCGAGATGTCTTGGCCACTTGGCCCAACAGTGCGCCCTCATGACCCTTCGAGCTTCGCCGCTTCGCTCTCTGCGAGCTCCTTCCTGCAAGTCGCAGCGGCCCCCCGCCCCCCGCTGACGGGGAAGGAGACAGGGGGATCAGCTCATGGGGGTCGTCAAAGGCTTAACGACTTCTGCCGTCCTTCGACTCGCGCTGGAGCGGCCGCGAGTTGCTCCAACTTTCCCTGGAGAGCTCTGGACTTACCTGGATTTACCCGGATTTATCTCGATTTACCTGGACTTACCTCGATCTATCTAAATTTACCCATATTTATCTGGCGTGATCCCCACAAGTCAGTTGGCGACAAGTCGACAAGCCCGTATGGAGGGGGGGGGGAAGACATCGAACATGAATCGGCGATGCCTCGCCGACAAATCGGCGACGGACCGCCGATGTGCAAGACAGCACGTTCCGGAGCGGCGTGGGGCGCCCTGGCACCGATCGGCGATACATCGACGATTCGGGCTCGATGCTCCCCCGCCCCACCCAAATGTTTAACCGATCCCCATCCCCACCAGCGTGGGCTGGGCCCCACTGGCCGATCTACCCCCCTGATAAGGATACAGGCTGCTCTCTTCGGGTTTCGAGGGGCGTACCCCCAACCGAAGTGGTGAGACGGTGGGGCTCGAGATGTGGATGGGGATGGGGATAGGGATCGGTTAACCCCTAAGCTTAGGCCGGGCATGTCCCCCTACAGGCGGATCTTGTACGAAACAAATCAAAAACAAACTCAAACACATTCAGAAAATACGAAAACATCGCACGCAGACTACGTTTTAACCATTTTTCCCCATATCCTAAGGATTGGGGTTCTGGTTCCCCATATCCTAAGGATTGGGGTTTTTGTTATTACTCTGACGCCTCCCACGCGCGGACTCCTTCCTCCCGCTCGCGCCTCCCTCCTCCCAATGATAATCACCAGATAAGACAAGACAAGATAAGATACTACAAGATAAGATAAGATAGCACCATATATGATAAGGCAAGATAAAATATATGACAAGGTAGGATAATATATAAGATAAGACAGCCTATGGAGTAATAAGATAAGACAATATATGATGCGATAGTATGAGTTGATATAAGATAAGCTAAGACAATATAAGAGATTTCAAGATAAGATAAGATAGAGGGTAATCAAGGTAAGATAAGATAGGACTCGATAAGATAAGATGAGACTCGCTCTCACTCAGACTCACTCACAGTCACATTCACTCACACTCACACTCTCTCATGATCACAAAACGCTGCCAGGGGCATCATTTGGGAGCCCCAAGGGGGAGCCACCCTGGCTGATCTCACGAGCCCGTTCGCGCCGATTTTGGTGGGACGTCTCAGCTAGAATTGCCGTTTGGCCTCCCCAACATGTATCTCTTGAGAGCCTCATGGTCACAAAACGCTGCCAGGGGCATCATTTGGGAGCCCCAAGGGGGAGCCACCCTGGCTGATCTCACGAGCCCGTTCGCGCCGATTTTGGTGGGACGCCTCAGCTAGAATTGCCGTTTGGCCTCCCCAACATGTATCTCTTGAGAGCCTCATGGTCACAAAACGCTGCCAGGGGCATCATTTGGGAGCCCCAAGGGGGAGCCACCCTGGCTGATCTCACGAGCCCGTTCGCGCCGATTTTGGTGGGACGTCTCAGCTAGAATTGCCGTTTGGCCTCCCCAACATGTATCTCTTGAGAGCCTCATGGTCACAAAACGCTGCCAGGGGCATCATTTGGGAGCCCCAAGGGGGAGCCACCCTGGCTGATCTCACGAGCCCGTTCGCGCCGATTTTGGTGGGACGTCTCAGCTAGAATTGCCGTTTGGCGCCCCCAACATGTATCTCTTGAGAGCCTCATGGTCACAAAACGCTGCCAGGGGCATCATTTGGGAGCCCCAAGGGGGAGCCACCCTGGCTGATCTCACGAGCCCGTTCGCGCCGATTTTGGTGGGACGCCTCAGCTAGAATTGCCGTTTGGCCTCCCCAACATGTATCTCTTGAGAGCCTCATGGTCACAAAACGCTGCCAGGGGCATCATTTGGGAGCCCCAAGGGGGAGCCACCCTGGCTGATCTCACGAGCCCGTTCGCGCCGATTTTGGTGGGACGCCTCAGCTAGAATTGCCGTTTGGCGTCCCCAACATGT